TTACTGCTGATGCTTGTCTGCTAAGATGTAAGATAAAAAAAAATGATTACACACTAAAAAAAAAAGTGTGCTTGCACCTCTGCTGAAACTAAACAGGATCAAATGGCACAAATTTCTTCAAGACCTTTAACGTCCATTGTTCTAATTTCTCTTTTGGGATTAACGTATTACATTTTTACAGGAAACCCAAAAGTGGCTCTCAAGCTAACGCTTAGAAGAAATCTACAAATCCAAGCTAAACTTCTCAGCTCGAATGTATGCAGATTTAAGCTGCTAAATCCCACACAGACCTGATCTTATCCAGAATTTTCAAACTTCTGCAAAGTTTTGTCAGTCAATATGTGGAGAAAGGAAGAAAAAGAAAGAAAGGGTGGGGGATTTCCATATCTGTGATGCGGCACGATGTAGCTGTAATGAATTTATGCATGAGTTTGGACAATTTGACATGCAAACACAAAAAGGTCAGTGTACCAAAGTGCCCAGTCCCACCTGGGACATGATTTGCAAAATGTCACACTTCTAGATATTCAGATATGTTTTAGAATGACAGGAAATCTGTCACTAATGACATTTTTCTTTTACTGCCTAGACGTGCGTAATATTTCCACCACTCTCGGTCTGTAACAGTCTTTTTTTCCATGCTTCTTATGAATCTAAGAAGACAGTGGCTTTACAGCTGAAGGCTGCGTGAGCTGGAAACAACATGCCAGATTAGAGTGAAGAGCTGTCTTAATTAAAGACTGTGAACTCTTCATAAAACACAGGCACTTTATGCATCTGTTGTTAGCATGCTTGCCACTGAGGCCTTCCAACCTCAAAACTTTTGAAGTAATTGTTAATGGGTGCAGGTGCTATGCTATTAACTGTGTTATTACCACACAAACACTACAGCATGAAAGGAAGTCCTGTCTGTCCATTCAGGTAAGTGGGCCACAGTTCAGCCTAGTAAACAGAGCGCACAAAGCCTGGATGCGAGCACGCTGAGGAGTAGGTGTTTTAGCTCAGGTTTTACCACAGCAGCAGAAGTGTGTTTGCCTCTGTGGGTGGATGCATGCAAATTCAATGGCAGTGACATGCCATGTGTGTGCTTCTTTTTCTCTTCTTTTTCCATTTCCTGCCAAAATTCAGGATTCCAATTAAATATGCAGAAAATTATCTCTGTTGCTAATCGTTTTTCCTTGATGGTGATGGGGAACGTCTTAAAGTAAGACGTAAGGGAGAATTTATAAGGACTTAGGAAAAGATAATTATAGTGCTCAGAGGGTTTAGCTCATACTTGTTTGCTTAATAATGTGATGGCTCTGCAGTTAAAATCAGTAAACTGTATATAAAAGATGAACCAAGGTTCCTGGCATTTGAAATTCATTGAACCTGCATTCTTTCTAATGACCAGCAGGAGGTGCATTTCTGATTGGGATAAGAAGAAGTCAGAAAATGTAAGATTTTTGATGTTGATATTTGGTGATTTAAAAAAATGACATACTGCACAATATTTTGTTTCTTTCAGACACAAAACAAATGCATCTTCCTAACATTTGTTACGTGTAGTTATTCATGACTCCCTACTAGGAAAATAAGACTATGTATCTTAAACATAAACTGGTTTTATTGGAACAACAAATTGTACCTTGCTTATATACTCTGAATAATTCTGCTCACATTAACCGATTATCATGTTTGAGGCATTTTAAACGGGTGTGCTGGTCCTGGTGAACAAACTATACAACATCAACACTCATTACATAATAACTGAAGGGTGTTTCTTCCATCTGTTCTTTTTAAATTTTCTTTAAAAAATTTTTAAAGTTACACTCAACTGTGTTGATGAGTGACTTCAGTAAAGTCTTTGCCTATTAGCTTATATTATCTGTAGTTTTAAGTCCTCTTGCAACATGATCATGCAACAATTTACTAATTTTCAGTTCTACTTTGGACCAGATTTACTAAAACGGGACAAAGTAACGTGTGAGGGCATGATTAGCTCTATGGATGATTGTCACTCTTTGTAAATACCAACAGTACTTTTTACAATTTACACCAAAACCCAGTTTATGCTGGGGCAGTGCGTTAGAAAATTAGAGCACTCTTAGAGTCAAAAAGGCTCAGCTCAATCAATTGAGTGACGTCATTGTGGCCATCTTTTGTATACAGTCTATGGTTTAAACTAGCATTAGATACACACTCCTCTATTTGTGTTCTTAGAGTGTTTCTTCATGTAGGCTTGCATAATTGTGTACAAGTAATGATAGTAACACTCAAATTAAATAGCTGTTTTAACAGATACTCGTGCTGCTATCCAATCAGATGTTTTTTCCCCACTAAAGAGATGATCCCCTTATTTTCACTTTTCCTTTATTAAGGTTTTTAGCATCTCTGAAGTAAAATCAATTAATAAGTTCTAAAAGCTGATAATACAGCAACTCAGAATGAGGACACAATTAACACAAATTAGGTCCACTTCAGCTTGATTGTTTTAATGTGGGTAATTATATTCATTTGTAGAACACTTTTTTAAAATCCGCTTTACAAAGTGCTTCACACAAGGGAACAAATTCAAATCTAGCAGGTTTTAGTAGAGTAGTGCAATACTCCTCGTTCACCTGTGGGTTAAAACTGGAAAAAAGCAGCATTTTACAATGTGAAACATGTCGCTTATCAGTTATGTTGAGCTGCTGTTTTAGTGACAGTCCGATGCTGTCTTACTTTGAAGAAGAAGTTATCTCCTTTCCTCTCCTAAGGGATGTTCCAGTGTCTTCTACTAAAGGAGGTAAGAAAGGAAATACTAAAGCACCTTCCTTTGTTTTCAGAGAATTTGACCAGCTCTTATTATGGCTGTCACACAACACATCGAGGTCAATTAACCTGTTTAGATGTAGGCTCATCACCCCTCCACCCTTTTTATCAAACATGGTTCTGTAAATTATGGTCAAACGTCACCACTCTGGTCTCATCTGTCCAAAGGACATTGTTCTAGAAGTCTTGCTGTTTGTTCAGATACAACTTTGTAAACCTGGACTGTGCTGCAATGTTCTTTTTAGAAAGAAGAGACTTTATCCTGACAATCCTTCCATGTAAGCCGTAATTATTGAGTCTTTTTTTTTTTTTAATATTGTGCCGTCTTTAACTTTAACATTTAACATGCTAACTGAGGCTTTTAGAGTTGGAGATGTAGCGCTTTGTTCTTTGGATTTCCTGGGACCACCACTCTGAAGATTAGCAGCTGTCTTGAGTGTTTTCGACTTTCCACAGATAGATGGGCAACAGTTGCTTCTTTAAGATTGTTGCTGGTGTGTTTTGCTTTCTGCTTGATATTGTGTTAACACACCTCAATATTCCAGATCACCAAACTGCCCCAAATTCTGCTTTTATAGAGGCACTCACACTTGCTGATGACCAGTAAGTCAAGTGTATTTAATTAGCAGCACCTGCCTGCTGCAGTACTGACCCTCTTTATTCCTATGACAGCAGTTTCTGCATTTTGGGTTAAAAAAATATGATGCAGTGTAATATTTCATGTTTTATTTTTCATCTGAGGTTGTATTTACCTGGTTTTAAGACCTGCTAAGGATCAGATCAGCTCATAGTGACCTGACATATTATATGCCTATAAATTTGTTTTTTTTTATTTTATTTTTTGTCAGAAAACTGCAAATGTGAAACATTTAATATCCTTAAATGGAGGGTAATTAAGAAATGTGATCATCGCATAGTATGTCCACCAGAATGGCTTTAACTCAGTGAAAAAAGGATCATAAACAGCTATCTGCAGCGCATGCAGCAGAGTAGCATCATAGCTGAGCAGCAATGAGTTTAAGTCCTTGACCAGTTTGTGAGATGCAATGCTATAAACTAAAAACAAAAGAAATAAACAACAACAACAAAAAAATCAGTTTTCCCATTCCAACGTAGTTCAAACATTCTCTCTGTGTATATGCAAATATAATATTGGATGTCAGATGTAGTAGTGGTGAGAGTATATACTTGTTAGAGCAGTCCAGTACCTCTATGAAGGAATAACACAGTAAGATCTATATCAGTTACTTCAAACAAGAAAAGCTTGAAGAAATATGACGACCAACTTTACATGTGCTCATCATAAACTAATATAGAGCTTGTAAACCTCTGGTCCTTCTAAAAGTTAATATTCTGCTACAGTGGCGCATATTATTGAGACGTGTGTATGTATCAGTAATATGGAGTGAAAGTGGGGCTTTGGAATTCCATCTACCTACAGGTGCACTACATGTTTTCCACAGTCAAACATAACCTTTGCAGAAGGTGGGACAAAAGAATCTATGCCCTAATCAGATTATTTTTATTGTTATTCGTTTTTTTTATTTACTGTGTGGGAATTTGATTACATGTGAATGTATTTCGAGACTATGAGGTTACTTTAAGGCATCAGAACTCCGCTGACTTATTCCGTTTGTAAAATGGGTCCTTGGTTGGGGCTGTTTTATTTTGTGGTTTACAGAGGTTCAGATTACCAAATCAAATGATCCTAAAATAATCCCAACGCACAGACCTGTAAACTCGGGCACGTCCCTGATTTGTAGTGTAGGCGTGTCAGTAGGAGGTTAAACCTGCAATAGCACAAGTTCTGACTGCCCCCTTTATTTAACTGCTCTAATACAAATAATGTAATGTCAGATTAAAACACCCTTAAATTAAACATTCAAATGTGCTTCTTAAAATCACTTCTGCGTTTAAGAGGTGCTTCAGCTTCTCTAATTACCGCCGCGGCCTTGTACTGCAACACAGCACCGCAGGAAGAGTTCTTCCACTGAGGCTGAGCTGCAGGAGCGCAGCAGAGGGGGAGAGAGAGAGTGGCTCCGTGGGCTGTCCATCATGGACAGAATAAAATAACAAACAACATATGTGTGACCAAAGAACAGCCGCACTTTAAAATGACAGAAAACAAACTTGGCTGCTTCCTGCTTTATGCGTAACGGAGACATCACCGCCTACCTGTCGCTGCTCCGGCTCCAGACGCTTTCACCTCACTTCAGTGACCCCATGACCAGCGTCTCGGAGTTGAACTCGAACTGATTGCTGGAGGACGCCGACTTGCCCCACGAGTAGAGGCTGGGCGGCCGCTTCTTAAACGACGACGTGTACTTGTAGAAGCTCCTGTGCCTGTTCTTCAGGTACTCCCTGTAGTTCTTGGTGAGCAGCGTATAGAGGAAAGGGTTGATGCAGCTGTTGCTGTATGTGAGGCTCGCGACAAGGTAGTTGATGCACGTGTGCGTCTGCGAGGCCAGGCTCAACGGCTTGGTGTGGTACAGAGGCAGCAGCTGCCAGATCCAGAAAGGCAGGAAGCACGCCCAGAACACCAGCACGATGGTGAAAATCATGATCAGCACTTTCTGCTTCGGTGACCTTTTGCCGCCTTTGCTGATCACAGAGTTGCGCTGGGACTCTAAATAAGTGCGGGCTAACTTGACGTACAGGTACCCGATGATGAGCCCCGGGGCCATGATGCTGGTGCCAAACAGGACCGTTACGTAAACTTTATAAGCCAGTGGAGCCCATGTGGGCGCGCACATCCTCTTCACACCCCCGTCCGGCGTGCTTTTAGTTGTCTGAGCGACCATTACCATCATGGGCACGGTGAGCACCAGCGACAGCAGCCACACGCCCCACGCCAGAGCTTTGCGGTAACTCTTAGAGCGCCTGACCGTGTCCAGCGGCTTGGTGACGGCCAGATAGCGCTCCGTGCACATTACGGTCAGGGTGAAGATGCTGGCGTGCATGGTGAGAAGGTCCAAGCTGAGCAGGATGCGGCAGCCCACGTCTCCGAAGTACCAGTCCTTCAGGAAGTAGGTGGACACCACGAAAGGGATGGTGGAGAGGTAGAGCAGGTCCGCGAGAGCCAGGTTGATGATGGAGATGTACATGGAGGTGGCGAACCGGATCGAGTGGCACATCACCACCAGCGTGTACACGTTCCCCGAGACCCCGATGATGTAGACAACGGAGAGGAGCGTCCCGAAAGTGGAAGTGATGACGAGTTCGTGGTCCACGGTGCCGCCAGCCCGAGGCGGGCTGGTGTTCAGGTTTAAAGATTTGTTACTCATGGCGCGTTCGGATCCGTTCCCTGCTCTTTGACAGCTCCGGACAAGTTTTGGAAAAGATGCGCACTGGCACAGGTTGCGTCTCGCTCCCTCCCCCCTCCCTCCTCTCTCTCCGCTCTCCGCCTGCTGCTCTTTGCTCCTGACGTCACCAACGTTACTTCCATATACATCTGACAGTCAGCTGTCTCACCGGTAAACAATGCTCCATCTGAGGATGGACGAAGAGGAAAGCATCGGCTTCTTTTTTCTTTCTTGAAGAGCGGGTGGATTTCTCGGCGCAACGATGTGAGACTGGGATGTATTATTAAAAGTTTAGTCAGCACTGAGCGCGCACCTGATGCCAAAAGCAGGACCGAGTCTGCTAAAATGTCATGAAAAGCTAGGGCACAGGTAATGTCACGCATAGATACTTGCTAGAGGAACCGGTAAAACAACCACCCACCCACCGCCACACACAAAAAAGAATAAATCCCCTGCAGTTAATTTCAGTGTGCCATTTTCTTGAGACTCACGAGAGCAGAAAGCGAACTTTCTCTTTCACTGACCGCAGCGCAGTCGGAGCCCCTCACGCGCTTGTTTTGTGCCAGCATTTCCTTTGTGCAGCTCGGTGTTTGTGTAACATTAGCAAACACTTAGGTCGGCATTGAGTTATGCAAATAGTTTATTATAGGTCACGGAAAAAATAAATACATCTCCAATTATTATAATAAATAAAACGTATTATCATCTCAAGATTAAATAAATAGGTTTTATTGCTCTTATCTACAATCACAGTCATCTGTTCTTCTCTCTTATGTTGGAAGTTATTTTTATTTTTCCCACAGGTTGTGAACAAAGATGGTGGGCCAGTATTGTGTGTGTGTGTGTGGGGGAGGGGGGAGGGAGGTGTCTTTGTCTGCAAAAGATGAAATCCTGTTGTAAAGAAATGTGTGGAAAACCAGCTCTCTTGAACTCTGACCTCATTAAACACTTTCCTGATGAGTTTATTATCCCAGCTGCTATTTTCAGGTCTTATTGATTTGGTTTATTCTGTTCATCACAGCCCCAATTAGTGACCAGAAGGACGGCAAAGCAGCTTATATTTTGGGCAGATCTGACAAGGTGAAATAGGCTAAACAAACATGGACCCATTGGTTTGTGGGCTCTGGCATTTTGGGCTGTTGTCATCTTGTTATGTTGTTTTTTTGTTGCCAGAATTTACAACATGCGTCTGAATCTCACTGACAAACACTGAATGCTCATGTTAGCAATGAGTGGAAAGGTAGCCACCAGTGTGGGTCAAGTTACTTGAAAATAGTAATTAGTTACTAACAGAGATGGGCAGTAATGTTTAACGCGTTACTCTAATCCGATTACTTTTTTCAAGTAATGAGTAAAGTAATGGGATTACTTTAGAAGTAATCAGTAATTAGTAACCAATTTCTACTGCCTCCACCAGTGTATGAATGTGAGAGTGAATGAATAGTGGTATTGTAAAGCGCTTTGGGTGCCTTGAAAAGCGCTATATAAATCCAATCCATTATTATTATTATTATTATTATTATTTTCAAGAAACTTGACAAACACTGGTTACTAATTACTTCTCCAAGAAAGTAATCCTGTTACTTTACTAAGTACCTGTTTTCAAAAGTAATTAGTTAATTTATTACTTAGAGTACTTTTTAAAAAACATGACACACAACCTGAATACGTAATAAAGACCAATTAAATTTTTCTGCATAATCCCTCATATAAAATTGAATCAAAAGTCTCCTTTTTAAATATTGTTTTATGAATTTTAATGTTTTAACTTTATGCACATTGCATGAAGCGAAACTTAAATTGTAAGCAACAGTCTTTGACTTGAAGAAATTTGTTTAACATTTAAATGTATTTTCTGCATATTCCAGCATATAAAATAAAATATTTGTTTTGTGTTTACACTCTTTCAAATAGACGGAAGCAAAACACAACAATAAATAAATAAAATCAAAGATTCAGCGGCACTAAGTCCTGTCGCTCTTAAATCTATTTTCACATGTTTAGCAGGAGTGAGGCCTGTGGAGGTTTGCCAGGTGCTACAGCGGTCATGTCAGTGGGGGGATCCGGGGGTTTCTCTGTGAGTTTCACAGTCCCATGGTGGATTGCTAGGCTAGGTGCTTGCCAGATTTGAAGTTTAATTTTTCGCTGTAGAAAGAAGTTTTCTTCCCATGTAGAGTGTATGGAATCAAACTCAAAGTAATGTCAGTACTTCCAAACTTTAAACACTGCATGTTGTCTGTTTTACACGGTGGCCTTGAGAGGCTAAACGGACTGCAACTTAAGAAAACACCAGCAATAAGAAAAACGCTGCAAAAGCACACAAAACACAACGGTAATAGGAAAAACGACAAAGGAAATAGGAAAAAACAGAAATAAGAAAAACGAAAACAGGAAAAACAGATTTCCAAAAGCACAAGGGAAGTGTTTCTGGGGAGACAATAACCCGACGGACCAGTTGCAGGAACCAAAATATGCTAAGAATTGCGCTGGGAGACACTTAAAAGAAGTGGAGGATCTATCGGTTTTGTGAGGAAAGAAAAGATGAGAGGTAAGTGTGTTAGCCTAACTATTAGCCTAAAAATCCGTCATCAGTATTATATGAATTATGATAAAACACACCTACCATGTTTTGGGTTCCTGCAACTGATCATTGGGTTATTTTCTCCCCAGAAACACTTCCCTTGTGTTTTTTCCTGTTTTTCATATTTCTTTTGTGTTTTGTTTGCTTTCCCAGCGTTTTTCTTATTGCTGGTGTTTTCTTAAGTTGCAGTCTTTTTGGCCTTTCAGGGCCACCGTAGTTTTACCCTGAATGGATCAATGTTTCAATAAAATGAACATCAAGTATTATACATCACTGTGCAAAAGTCTCAAACCACTCTCACTACTTCACCTTTTTCCTTCCAAGTGAGCTTGAGAATAGTTCTTTAGGATTTGTAAAGGTCTTTCAAAGGTTTCCGTTGGTCAGTGGCTGATTTTAATTCATTTTCATTCAGCTTTTGCACTTGACTATTGTCAGATGAATGTTTTATGTTTGCTACGACTCTAAACACCGACATATGAAACAATCGCATATTAGGATAGAAAAAAAAACCACTCATAAATTAGCCTCCCTGGAGCCCGGACCTCAACATTACTGAAGCAGTGTGAGATCATCATGACAGAGATTTTACAAATGAGATAAGTCAGTCGAGTTCTAATAATTTTAGGCAAATAACCTCCTACATAATTAATATTTAATCAATAAAAGAACAAAAAATATAATAAATCAGGCCCCTGTGCAAACAAAGTTCCTTCCTGAAACAAGTTTTGTATTTTTTAGTTCTGTAAAACTTGCTTTGTAACTGGGTCAGGATTTCTTGAAAGAGGTATCGCTGTTTATTTTTTCAATTGTATTTTTAAGCACCAGAAGACACGTTTTATCTGGTCCCATTATATTCAAGACAAGAAAAACAGACTCACTACAGAGGATGTCTCCAAAACTAAATATATTAAACCGCACTACACACCAGTGAAAAAACAAACAAACAAAAAAAACAAGCATATTCGATTTGTGGATTAACTGCTTTTTGAAGCTTTTCTCTTCTCGCAATTCCCGCTCGTCTTTTATTTTCATGGAGCACCTACAGATGAACTGTTTATTGCAGAGATGAATTTGTCTGGGATTTTAAGCATCACTGCACTCAGTAGAGCCTTGTAAGTAACAATAGCGTCTCCAAACCCTCGGTACAATGCTCATTATTATTCATGAAGCTGTCCTTTTATTGTCGTCACTTTGCTATTGGGCTTTTCTCTCTTGCAGCCCCTGTCTTTCCAGATCGATGAGTGTGTCCTGAGCCAGCAATCATGAGCCAATAATCTTCCCCAGACAGCGTAGGTGTCCTCACACTCATTCATCCACAAGTGATAGAGCTCTGTGGCCAACTCTGAAACTGTACCATCCATCCTCAAAGCCAAAAAAGAGCAGCGCTGAAGCCAGAGATATTACAGTCATTAGCTGGGTCACGTGGGACTCCCAAGTGCAGCTGAAGAGGCAAAGAGGGTTAAGCATGGTGGCAGTTAACTCAGTCACAGCCATTTTTTAATTCTTCGCCCTGGTTACAGCAGAAACACCACAGAAACACTGTCATTCATTTAAAATAGCATATATCAGTCAGCATTTTGGTGAATGGACCTTACTGTTTTGACTCAGGGTCATCAAACTGAAAAAGAAAAAGACTGAAAAAGATTCAGAAACATACTCTTCTCAAGGCCACCATTAAAACAGGGGAACAAGCAGTACACTTACTGGACACTTTATTATGTACATCATGTTAGTCTCAAGTTAAACCCACGTTTGCTTCCAGAACCTGCCCTAATTCTTCGCAAGGTGCTGGAAAAATTCAGAGATTTTGACCAGATAGCATTGTGCAGTTCCTGCGATTTCTCAGGTGCACAAACCGTTCCACAAAGATTGAGATCTGGTGACTGCAGAGGCTATTTAAGCACAATGAAGGTTCAAGGTTCTTTATTTGTCACATGCATAGTTATACAAGTATAACACACAGTGAAATGTAACCAATGAACTCATCGTTGTTTTCAGGAAAACAGCTTGAAATGATCTGAGCCTTGTGACATGATGCTTTTCCTGCTGGAACCAAGATGGGTGCACCGTGGGTAAAACGATGGACTTTAGTAATAGGCTGAAGCATTTATATGATGGTATACTAAAGGGCTCAGAGTGTGCCAAGAAAATGTCCCCACACATCACTGTAGCACCACCGACAACCAGAACTGTTGATACGAGGCTGGATGGATCTGTGCGTTCATGTTGTTTATGCCAAATTCTGACCAGTGATGCTCTTGGTTTTAATGAATGGCAGAGT